AAAAAAAAAAAAAAAAAAAGAAAAAGAAACGTGGGGCTGGGATCAGGGAAAATAAAAAGAATGTTGGGGGCAGGGAAATTGGGAGGGGGCAACTCAAGCATTTTCCCATTCTAAACCCAGGGATGGGGTGGGGAAGGAAAGAGCCCTGCTGCTGTTGGAACGAGGGTCTGCACTGCCTCTGGCCTGGGTGGCCGCTGTGCAGAAAATCACAGAGCAGAGTGGGCACCAGGCCAGCAGCTCGGATTTGACTGAGACCTAAAGAATGAGGGCCCCGTTGAGCAAAGGGAAGTAAAGGAAGCAAGCGGTAGCGTTTCCCACTCCAGAGAGCACATGCTGGGGGAAGATAAGGGAGACAGGAAGCTGAGCTGGGCCCAGTGCTGGTGCAGCTCAGTGGATGAGAGGGGCCTTGCGAGGGCAGCAGGAGCAGGGATGAGCCAGGGACTGGCCGTGTACCCAGCTGGACTTCAGAGGACCAGCCTTTCCCACCCATGTTGTTAGCTACTGAAGATCAGCAGTTTACGCAACCTGGCCCAATATGGGTAACGAAGGAGCATGGATCCTTCAAAGGCATTTCCCCCTTAGGTTGAGGAATAATAACAATAACATGTACAAAGAACTTACAGTGTGCCAGGCAGAGTATTAAGTAAGCAAAGTACATGTATTTTATTCTCACTAGTACTCTATGAAAAGTCTGAAGAAAGTCCAGGCCAGGTGCTCATGTCTGTAATCCTAGCACTTTGGGAGGCCAAGCTGGGAGGATTGTTTGAGCCCAGGAGTTTGAGACCAGCCTGGGTAACAAAGCAAGACCCTGTTGAAAGAATGAAAGAGAGAAAGAAGGAAATGAAGGGAGGGAGGGAGGAAGGAAGGAAGGAAGGAGGGAAAGAAGGAAGGAAGGAAAAGAAGGAAGGAAGGAAGGAAAGAAGGAAGGAAGAAAAGAGAAAGAAAAGCTGGGCGCGGTGGCTCACACCTGTAATCCCAGCACTTTGGGAGGCCAAGGTGGGTGGATCACCTGAAGTTGGGAGTTTGAGACTAGCCTGACCAACATGGAGAAACCCCGTATCTACTAAAAATACAAAAATTAGCCGGGTATGGTAGCACATGCCTGTGATCCCAGCTACTCAGGAGACTGAAGCAAGAGAATTGCTTGAACCTGGGAGGCGGAGGGTGCAGTGAGCCAAGATCACGCCATTACAATCCAGCCTGGGTGACAAAAGTGAAACTTGAAAGAAAGAGAGAAAGAGAAAGAGAGAGAGAGAGAGAGAAAGAAAGAGAGAAAGAAAAAGAGAAAGAGAGGAGTGAAGGAAGGGAGGGAGGGAAGGAGGGAGGAAGAAGGAAAGAAAGGAGGGAGGGAGGGAGGGCAGGAGGGGAGGGAGGGAGAAAAAAGAAGGGAGGGAGGGAGGTCTGAAGAAATAGCCATCATTCCCATTTTACAGATGAGGACACAGAAGAACAGAACAGTAAACTGAGCTGCTCAAAGACACCCAGCTGGGAAAAGACAGAGCTGAGACTCAAACCCAGGTGAGTTGGATGCCAAAACATCCATCATTATTAGACCATCTTGTGAGGATAAACAAGATGATGAATTCAAAGCTCCTCGAACACAGTACATGTTCAGTAGGTGGGAGAGATAAGAAAGTTGCTTAGCAGCAGACAGAGCTGACCCTGCCCAGGAGGGATGGAGGGGAGATGTTAAGTATGACTTCTTGAAGAGAAGGCAAAGGAATAGATGTAAGTCTCAATCAGAATTTCCCCCTGTAGCCACCCCGCAACATACCCCAACTTAGGGAACATGAAAAGAAGCTCCAAACACTCAGGATGCTGCCCCCCAGCAGTTGGAGGGAGCCTGGCTCCTGCCTATCTCTCCAGCCTTATCTATCCATGCATTCCAGTTTCAGCCAAATCCATTCATCCTGGTTTCCTGAACACAGAACACACATGTATTACCTTTTCACTTTTTTTTTTGCAGTAAGATAAGGTTAATTTATTATTGAAGAAAGAAAAATATTTTCGCTTACATTTAGTGCAGCCTAAGTGAAGTGTTGGCAAAGTCTGCAGTAGTGTACAGTAATGTCCTAGACCATCACATTTGCTCAACACTGACTCACTGACCTGCTCAGAGCAGCACCAAGTCCTTCAAGCTCCATTTATGAAGAACACACTCTACAGGTGTACCTTTTAAAATCGATTATACCATATTTTTACTGTACCTTTTCCATGTTTAGATTCCTTTTATTATTATTATTATTATACTTTAAGGTTTGGGGTACATATGCAGAATGTGCAGGTTTGCTACATGGGTATACATGTGCCATGGTGGTTTGCTGCACTCATCAACCCGTCATCTACGTTAGGTATTTCTCCTAATGCTATCCCTCCCATAACCCCCCACCCCACAACAGGCCCCAGTATGTGATATTCCCCTCCCTGGGTCCATGTTTTCTCATGGTTCAACTCCCACTTATGAGTGAGAACATGCAGTGTTTGGTTTTCTGTTCTTGTGTCAGTTTGCTGAGAATGATGGTTTCCAGCTTCATCCGTGTCCCTGCAAAAGACATGAACTCACCCTTTTATATGGCTGCATAGTATTCCACAGTACATATGAGCCACATTTTCTTTATTCAGTCTATCATTGATGGGCATTTGAGTTGGTTCCAAGTCTTTGCTATTGTGAACAGTGCCACAGTAAACATACATATGCATGTGTCTTTATAGTCGAATGGTTTATAATCCTTTGGGTATATACTCAGTAATGGGATTGCAGGCTTAAATGGTATTTCTGGTTCTAGATCCTTGAGGAATCACCACACTGTCTTCCACAATGGTTGAACTCATTTACACTCTCACCAACAATGTAAAAGCATTCCTATTTCTCCACATCCTCTTCAGCATCTGTTGTTTCCTGACTTTTTAATGATCAGCAGTCCAACTGGCGTGAGATGGTATCTCATTGTGGTTTTGATTTGCATTTCTCTAATGACCAGTGAGGATGAGCTTTCTTTCATATGTTTGTTGGCTGCATAAATGTCTTCTTTTGAGAAGTGTGTGTTCATATCCTTCACCCACTTTTTGATGGGGTTTGTAAATTTGTTTAAGTTCTTTGTAGATTCTGGATATTAGCCCTTTGTCAGATAGATAGATTTGCAAAAATTTTCTCCCATTCTGTAGGTTGCCTGTTCACTCTGATGATAGTTTCTTTTGCTGTGCAGAACCTCTTTAGTTTAATTAGATCCCAGTTGTCAATTTTGATTTTTGTTGCCATTTCTTTTGGTGTTTTAGTCATGAAGTCTTTGCCCTCCCCTATGTCCTGAATGGTATTGCCTAGGTTTTCTTCTAGGGTTTTTATGTTTTTTTAGGTCTTATGTTTAACTCTTGAATCCATCTTGAGTTAATTTTTCTATAAGGTGTAAGGAAGAGCTACGATTTCAGTTTTCTGCATATGGCTAGCCAGTTTTCTCAACACCATTTATTAAATAGGGAATCCTTTTCCCATTGCTTGTTTTTGTCAGGTTTGTCAAAGATCATATGGTTGTAGATGTGTGGTGTTATTTCTGAGGCCTCTGTTCTGTTCCATTGGTCTATATATCTGTTTTGGTGCCAGTACCATGCTGTTTTGGTTACTGTAGCCTTGTAGTATAGTTTGAAGTCAGGTAGCATGATGCCTCCAGCTTTGTTCTTTTTGCTTAGAATTGTCTTGGCTATGCAGGCTCTTTTTTGGTTCCATATGAAATTTAAAGTAGTTTTTTCCAATTCTGTGAAGAAAGTCAATAGTAGCTTGATGGGGATAGCATTGAATCTATAAATTACTTTGGGCAATATGGCCATTTTCAAATATTGATTCTTCCTATCCATGAGCATGGAATGTTTTCCCCCTTATTTGTGTCCCCTCTTATTTCCTTGAGCAGTGGTTTGTAGTTCTCCTTGAAGAGGTCCTTCACAGCCCTTGTGAGTTGTATTCCTAGGTATTTTATTCTCTTTGTAGCACTTGTGAATGGGACTTCACTCATGATTTGGCTCTCAAATCATGTTATTGGTATACAGGAATGCTTGTGATTTTTGCACATTGATTTTGTATCCTGTGACTTTGCTGAAGTTGCTTATCAGCTTAAGAAGATTTTGGGCTGAGACGATGGGATTTTCTGAATGTACAATTGTGTCATCTGCAAACAGATGCAATTTGACTTCCTCTTTTCCTGTTTGAATACCCTTTATTTCTTCCTTTTGCCTGGTTGCCCTGGCCAGAACTTTCAATACTATGTTGAATAGGAGTGGTGAGAGAGGACATCCTCGTCTTGTGCCGGTTTTCAAGGAGAGTGCTTTCAGTTTCTGCGCATTCAGTATGATATTGGCTGTGGGTTTGTCATAAATAGCTCTTATTATTTTGAGATACGTTCCATCAATACCTAGTTTATTGAGAGTTTTTAGCATGGAGGGATGTTGAATTTTGTTGAAGGCCTTTTCTGCATCTATTGAGATAATCATGTGGTTTTTGTCTTTGGTTCAATTTATGTGATGGATTATGTTTATTGATTTGCACATGTTGAGCCAGTCTTGCATCCCAGGGATGAAGCATCTTGATCGTGGTGGATAAGCTTTTTGATGTGCTGCTGGATGTGGTTTGCCAGTATTTTATTGAGGATTTTTGCATTAAAGTTCATCAGGGATACTGGCCTGAAATTGTCTTTTTTTGTTGTGTCTCTGCCAGGTTTTGGTGTCAGGATGACATTGGTCTCATAAAATGTTAGGGAGGATTACCTCTTTTTCTATTGTTTGGAATAATTTCAGAAGGAATGGTACCAGCTCCTCTTTGTACCTCTGGTAGAATTCGGCTGTGAATCTGTCTGGTCCTGGACTTTTTTTGGTTGGTAGGCTATTAATGACTGCCTCAATTTCAGAACTTGTTATTGGTCTATTCAGGGATTAGACTTCTTCCTGGTTTAGGCTTGGGAGGGCGTATGTGTCCAGGAATTTATCCATTTCTTCTAGATTTTCTAGTTTATTTGCATAAAGGTATTTATAGTATTCTCTGACAGTAGTTTGTACTTCTGTGGGATCAGTGGTGATATCCCCTTTATCATTTTTTTTTTTGATTCTTCTGTCTTTTCTTCTTTATTAGTCTGGCTAGCGGTCTATCTATTTTGTTGATCTTTTCAAAAAACCAGCTCCTGGATTCATTGATTTTTTTTGAAGGGTTTTCATGTCTCTATCTCCTTCAGTTCTGTTTAGTTCTGATCTTAGTTATTTCTTGTCTTCTGCTAGCTTTTGAATTTGTTTGCTCTTGCTTTCTCTAGTTCTTTTAATTGTGATGTTAGGGTGTCAATTTTAGATCTTTCCTCACTTCTCTTGTGGGCATCTAGTGCTATAAATTCCCCCCTAGACATTGCTTTAAATGTGTCCCAGAGATTCTGGTACGTTGTATCTTTGTTCTTTTCAAAGAACATCTTTATTTCTGCGTTAATTTTGTCATTTACCCAGTAGTCATTTAGGAGCAGGTTATTCAGTTTCCATGTAGTTGTGCGGTTTTGAGTGAGTTTCTTAATCCTGAGTTCTAATTTGATTGCACTATGGTCTGAGAGGCTGTTTGTTATGATTTCCATTCTTTTGCATTTGCTGAGGAGTGTTTTACTTCCAATTATGTGGTCAATTTTAGAATAAGTGCGATGTGGTGCTGAGAAGAACGTATATTCTGTTGATTTGGGGTGGAGAGTTCTATAGATTTCTATTAGGTCTGCTTGTTCCAGAGCTCAGTTCAAGTCCTGAATATTGTTGTTAATTTTTCTGTCTCACTGATCTGTCTAATATTAAAGTCTCCCACTATTATTGTGTGGGAGTCTAAGTCTCTTTACAGGTCTCTAAGAACTTGCTTTATGAATCTGGGTACATATATATTTAGGATAGTTGGCTCTTCTTGTTGCATTGATCCCTTTACCATTATGTAATGACCTTCTTTGTCTCTTTTGATCTTTGTTGGTTTAAAGTTTGTTTTATCAGAGACTGAGATTGCAACCCCTGCTTTTTTTTTTTTCTTTCCATTTGCTTGGTAAATATTCCCCCATCCCTTTATTTTGAGCCTGTGTGTGTCTTTGCATGTGATATGGGTCTCCTGAATACAACACACTGATGGGTCTTCACTCTTTATCAAATTTGCCAGTCTGTGTCTTTTAATTGGGGCATTTAGCCCATTTACATTTAAGGTTAATATTGTTTTGTGTGAATTTGATCTTGTCATTATGATGCTAGCTGGTTATTTTGATGGTTAGTTGATGGGGTTTCTTCATAGTGATGGTGTTTTCAATTTGGTATGTTTTTTGCAGTGGCTGGTACTGATTATTCCTTTCCATGTTTAATGCTTCCTTCAAGAGCTCTTGTAAGGCAGGCCTGGTGATGACAAAATCTCTCGGCATTTGCTTGTCTGTAAAGAATTTTATTTCTGCTTTGCTTATGAAGCTTAGTTTTGCTGGATATGAAATTCTGGATTGAAAATTCTTTCCTTTAAGAATGTTGAATATTGGCCCCCATTC